TTTGTGAAAATGAATGATTGGACCATTTATTGCAGAATTGTTTTTCTGTGTCAGGCATGCTGGCAATCAAGTTGAAAGGAGATTACTATGAGAGTTTCAATCACTAGTAAGTGCACATTTGTGTGTTATCATATTCAGTCATTATAATTGTGTATTTACATTTATATCACTAGATTTTTAATGCTTTATAAGTCAGTCTAGGAACTATTTTAAAAAAGGATCAGATAATATAGGCTCTGAGTTTGGTACAGTCTGATTTCCAGTAAGGTTGTTGATAAATATTAAAGCATTGCAGAAATTCATTAAAAGTTCCACATTATACATGCATGTTAAATTATAAATAACAGAGGCTAAACTTATAGTAATAATGGCAGTAATGTGACTAGTAGTACTTAAATAATTATTGATTTTAATGTTGAATTTATTTAGATAATAGATGTAATACTGCTTATTTTATGTTTGGAAAAATGTAATGAGTTTGAAGGGAGATAAAAAGTACCCTTAAATTATATAAAGCAGAAGGAAGTTGTAATTTTTCCTGTTCATACACACATCTTTAATCCATTTATTATCTACCCACCTGTTGAAGTTCCTTTTTAAGATTTTTTAAAAATTTTATGTGCATAGCCCCTTGAATTTCTTAATGTGCATTAATTTTACATATATTTTTACAAGAAGCCTGGATAGTTAACATGAATTTCTATTCTTGCATAGCTTCCTTTATTTTTGTAAGAAATGATGTGGTAATATTCATATAGAGAAGAATGTGAACACAGTTTTTCAACTTTTTGTTTTTATTGCGGTGTTATCTATGGAAACTTATGTTGAGCTTTGTAGCTCTGTGCTGCAAACAGTTCAGTGACTCAGTGAGTCATTGTGCTGTGCAACTAAAATCACTGATTCAGGAAGATTTCTGCAATCTCAAATGCAAACCTAATGCTTGTCAAGCAGCCATTTTCTATTACCTCTCCTCTCCATCTAATTTGCTTTCTGCTCCGTGAATTTATTTATTCTGGGCCTTTATTATAAGTAGAATCAAGAGTATATAGTTTTGTGTTTGCCTTCTTGGTCTTAGCACAGTGTTTCAAGGTTCATCCACATTACTTCAGACATTAACCTTTCATTTCATTATGGTAGAGACATAATCCATAGCATGGTTATTCCTCACTTTGTTTACACCTCAGCACTGGATGAGCATTTTGGTTGTTTCCAGTTTTTGACTAATAATACTGCCATGAACATTCTATACCCATTTTGGAGGCCAGTGTTGGAATCCCTGCACGTGTGATAGTTTTGCATTTGACATGATGAGGTTCTTCCAAAGCGCTTCTTCAGAGGCTGCACCCTTTTGCATTCCTGACAACGTGCATGTATCCCAATGCCTCCATGTCCTTGCCAATACTCGCTTTTGTTCTGGTTTTGTTGGTGCTGCCATGCTGGTGAGTCCTCAGTGCTATTTTACTATAGTTTTGCTCTTAACTTTCCGAAGAGCTAATCATGTCAAACACCAGCTTGTTTCCCACTGGCTTATACTTTTTGCAAAAGCAACAATTTGAATTCTTTGTGCATTTTAAAATAAATGACATATAAACACAAATATCAAATTTGTCCTCACTCGTGTGTAACTATACTTAATATAAATGGGTAAACTGACTAAACTGTCCAATGAAAAGTCAATATGATCATTGGCACAACGTTTTCTCTAATCAGTTCTATTCAACAATATCTGAAAAGTGCAGCCAGGACAACTAGACAAGAAAAAAACATTCAAATTATGAACAATGAATTATGAAAGTTATTATCTCTATGCGCAAATATACCATCTTATGCATAGAAAAATCCCCAAAGAGGAGCTGGAGAGATGGTTCAGTGGCTAAGAGTACTGATTGCTTTTCCAAGGGACCTGAGTTCAGTTCCCAGCACTCACATCGCAGCCTACGACCATCTGTAACTCCTTGACATCTTCTGTTCTCTGTGGGTATGCATGTATGAGGTATACTTACAACATGCTAGCACAACACTCATATACATAAAATATAAATAAATTAATTACAACACTCATATACATAAAATATAAATAAATAAATTAATTAAAAAATAATCCACAGTAATACTATTATATCTTTTTTTTAAACTTAGCAAATTTACAAGATGTAAGATCACTATACAAAACTCAACTGTTTATCAGGAATTCTTTTTATAGTAGCATGAAAAGATTGCTTAAGAATAGGTTTAGCAAAGGCAATGCGTGCAATGCCCTGCTGAAATAAGGAAGACCAAAATGAGTGGAAAGCTTACATTCTTACATTGGAGGGTGGGAAATCACTACCATGACAGCACTGTCAGTGCAATGCATGCAAAATTCCAGCTGCCTTACCTCTTTCTCATTACTAGATATAGAACCCAGGACCTTGCGCATGCTAGACAAACACGGTACCTGAGCTATATTGAGGAAGCTTATTCTGGCTTTTGCTGGCGATAAAGAGACAAATATAAACATAAATGAAAGCAGAGAGGGGGGAGGGAGGGATGGAAAGAGAAAGGAGAGAGGAAGGGAAGGAGGGAAGGAGGGAGGGAGGGATTCCTACAATGTTGCTGAGTGATTCTGAAAGCAGGAATTGGGGTGACTAATACAAATGACTTGAAAATCAATAAATATGAGCAGTGTGAAGAAGAAACACGAATAACCCTAGACTTACAAAGTCACTCCCAGCACATTTGTATCTCTGCACTGAAAGTACCATCACCCCCACCACCCATCCTCCCATCATACCCAAAAGAAAAGGTGAAGTGGGTGCAGGGAAGCCAAGGTGAAGGACGAACCTTAGAGACCCGCAAGCTTAAACCTGCTCCCCGAAACCAGGCCTAGAAAGGACCCTGCAAGGACAGGAGAGGAGGTACCCAAAGGGAAACAGAGAAAGTGATGTTGGCAAGGATGGGAATAACCTTGAAGAAAAGGGAGATGCCCAGTGGGAACAGGCACAGAGCTGCCAGGGCTGCAAATGCCAAGTGAAGTGAGCATGTTTGTGATAATTGCGCACTTCTGGTGGCTTTACAGAGTCTTTACCAGTCTCTATCAAGTTTTGTAAAAATACAGAATTTTTGTTTTACTTTTTAGGCTATCTTACTTTGTTTGGGGGAGCAGGAATATGTGTCACTAGTAAAATGTCCCCAAGCTGGATTGGTGTGGGGGAATCACCTTTTCCTTCTCATTTTGAAACATGCCTCTTGGCTCCCAGGAGGGGATTTCCTGATATTTACACATATGGACACCTTAGAACAAAATGCCTTGTTGTGTGGGGAAATTTGAAATTCATTTTTATATCCTCCTGTCCAATTGGTACTATCCAGGGCAGTGAGTTACCTTGTCTGAGAAAAGACACTTGAGGTTGACTTCTGGCTTCTTCAGCTTGTGCACATAGTCACCCATGCAAACTTGCACCTCCACATACACATATAACCTGAAAATAAAATAAGACATAATTACACATTGTGCCACTGCATTTCTCTGCTCATGTCAATCTTTGAGCTAGACCAAGTAGCCAATGGTTTCTCCTACAGCCTCAACCTGAATGCCTCCTTCCACCAGCTGGTCTTCCCCAGATTCCATCCATCATATTAAGATGCATATGTGCTATCACCAGCATGTTCCATGGCAATAACTACATAGCTCTCTTTCCGCTCTCATTTGATGCTACCTCTCAGGAATATTCCAGGCAACATAGTATTTCCATTGTCTTAAAACACTATCATGTTTTCCCTTTAATTCAGAAAACACTATGCATTTATTTATAGGATAGGATATGCTTGGTTTACCTTTAATTTGTTTCCCACATTTTCTTCCTAGATATTCTCCTTTAGTTTACGGTCTGTAAACTAAAGATTTCCTAAAGAAGGGAAGGTGTGAAGCAGTTTTCCATGGGTGCACACCTCGATGGCGCACTGCCTTCTTCAGACAGTGCGGGAGCTCCCTTTCCCCTGTCCTCCAACGTGTTCCTATTTCCCATCTTTTGCTCCTCTAGTTTATCTTCCCAATGGTTTTGGTTGAAATTTTTGTATATGCAAGTTTCTCCAAAAAGTTTGTTGTTTTTATTGAGACAGGGTCTTCCTGTAGTCCCAGCTGGCCTGGAACTCGCTATGTAGACCAGGCTGACTTTGACTTCGAAAATATATATATTATTTTTGTTGTTTTCGTCATTTCAACTTAAATTTATTGTTCTAAAGTTGTGAATCTAGTGTTTATATTTTCATCTCTTTTAAATGCATTGACTTTGGTGCTTATATTAAATATTTATTGATTTTTTTCCAAGCCAAACTGTATACAGTTTTATTAAAAATACTTTTCATAAACAATCATAGTACTTCAGACATAACATGGATAGGCAAGCATTAGCAGTATAAAAGAACTGTCAGACTACTTTCTTGTATGGAGTACAAAATCAGAAAGCCATCATAAAATCCAATGAAGTTTTCCGCTGATTCTTTGAAGGGGGAAGTTCAGAATGAGGGTGTTTTTTACATGTGTTTCAGAGAATTGGCCCTCTTTCCAGACTGTGTGATTTTTAAGGCCTCCTTGAAGGAAACGGACTGACCAAAATTATTCTGTTGTGAAATAAGTATGCCAGTGGTTTGGTTAGAAGAAATCCACCTAGCTTATAAGATCTATTGAGATTTCTAAATATTTACAACTCACGTATACATGACTTCATACAGTATATTTTATCTTCAGGAAGATGTCTTTGAAGAAACAGGTATTTTCCATTTTTGTTTTATACACACACATGCAAACACATTTATATATAAGCAACTTTGTATTTCTGTTTTACACACACTATTTAAAAACTTAAGCAATTCCTTCTGCTTTGCTCATTTTTCGTTGGGTTTTGTTTAATGAATATCTGCTTGTGAGGGAAGGAAAATCCACAGAAAGACTGACAACCATGCCAGGAAGGCTGACATTCTCAAGGCACTTTGGGGGGAATGTATCATTTAACAAGGTATGGATCTAGAAGAATCTTATCAGCTTCTGCCTAAACAAGCAAGTAGATTTAACGCCTCTCTGCTCTTCACCCAGCAAAAGCTTACTCATATCCTGTGGGATTTGGAATCCTTAGACCCTGAAAGGATCCTTATGACACAGTCTCTGATCTGCTTGGTTTTCACTCCATAGACAACAGGATTCATTGTGGGAGGCAAAAGCAGATAAATATTGGCCACAATGATGTGGCAAGATGGAGGAATGGTGTGCCCCCCAAAGCGATGGGAAAAGAAGGAAAAGAAGGCTGGGCTATAGGAGAAGATAATGGCACAGATGTGCGCGGTGCAGGTGCTGAAGGCTTTCTGCCGGGCATCTACCGAGGACAGGCTGACCACTGCCCGAAGGATCATGGTGTAGGAGACTGTAATGCACAGGATGTCGAAGCCCCCAATCAGGAGGGCCACCATCAGACCATAAACGGCATTAACTTTCACATTGCCACAGGACAACTTGGCTACTGACATGTGGTCACAGTAAGTATGGTGTATTACATTGCCCCTGCAGTAAGGTAGGCGCTTGGTGAGAAAAGTGAATGGAATGATTAGCAGCACCCCCCTTAGGAAGGTAGCAAGCCCAACCTTTGCAATGATAGGATTGGTGAGGATGGTGGAGTAGCGTAGTGGATAGCAGATGGCCACGTAGCGGTCCAGGGCCATGAGCATGAGGACCCCAGACTCCATTCCTGTGAAGGTGTGAATGAAGAACATCTGGACCAGACATTCATCAAATCCAATTTCCTTGCGATGAAACCAGAAGATGCAGAGGGCCTTGGGGATTGTACTAGAGCACATGACAAGGTCCGTTAGAGAAAGCATGGCTAAGAAGTAGTACATGGGCCTGTGCAGGGAGTCCTCATAGAAGGTGAGGTAGAGGAGCCCACAGTTCCCCACCACAGCCACAACGTACATGGAGCAGAATGGGAAGGAAATCCACATGTGCACATCTTCTAAGCCTGGGACTCCATTCAGAACAAAGCAGGCTGGGGTCAGGACTGTGTTATTTTGTATTAGCATGGCCAGACTAATAGGAACATGAAATGTGGATTTTCCTAAAGGAAGAAAGAAAATGTGGGTTATATTTACTATCAATCTCTCCTCTACTTTTAAAAATCATATAAGACATTTTAATGCCAAACAACCAAGTTTTCTGATTGCCAAGGAATAGCTTGGTTGGTGCTTTTATTTACTCTTAATTCATTGATTCAATCGATAAGTTTTTATTGATCAGTTTAAGGTTTTATCACAGATTCTAACTTCATTAGTTATTGGAAAGACAGATTGTCCTCCTCATTGGTTTATAATCCACTGTTGACTTTTCTAAAGGTTTTTTTTTTGGTTAGGATGCCTTGCTTAACTGTTAGCAAGTGTGCACACCTCACAGATGTGATCTTAAAGAAGAGTGGTTTGGTACAGGTATACTAATTGCCTGCCTGTAATCCCAGCACTAGGGAGGCTGAGGTAGGAGATACATAACAAGGGGCTGTCTCAAAAAAAGAAAATAAAAAAGAATATCTCACCAATGGTTAAACACTCTCGATTTGGACTTTTACAACTTGTATTCTTCATGAGTGAGGTTTATTATTGGTTACTGAGGCTCTGTTGAAAGCAATTTTTCTTTTGGTCTTTTTGAGTCAGGGTCTCCCTGTAGCCCCAGCTGTCCTGGAACTCACTATGTAGACCAGGCTGGCCTTGAACTCAAAGAAATCCTCCTGCCTCTACCTCCTGAGTGCCGGGATTAAAGGTGTGCGCCACCATGCCCAGCTGAAAGCATTTTTAAAAATAATGAATTATTTGTTGGTGAATCTCCTTGGTGAACTTTTGACTCGGTCTTCACATTCTTCATGATTCCTCATTATAATCTTTTGCCACATCCGAACGATTTGCATTTCTTGAACAGTATTAAATTTTCTTCAAATTGTTTATAGTCATAATTTAAGAGCAGCTCGTGGTGCTTAGCATGGTGAGTCCATCAATAGTAACAGGTCATTTGTTTCTTCTTTCTACAAATGCCCCTAACTTACCTTCAGGCATTGTCCTCTGAGATTTTCCATTGTCCGTGGCAAATATGTAATGCACATTTCATATACACATTTATATATGCATGTATCACATGTGGTGAATATTCCTATGCCTTACTAAAGGAATCAAGTCTGCCTCATTTATGCTATTTTTCCACTTAATATTTATTATTCAATACTATGTCGACATCGCTGATATTTATTGTTTTCTCATTCTCCTCTCTGACCTCTGGGGGTCATGTTTTTAGGATCATTAAAAATAGAACCCATTTTAATTGGGTTCACGTGAGGAGCAAAAATAAATAAAAGTTTTCATTCGGGCAGAGCCTTTCCCCGCCGACCAAACATGCCAGTCCTCGATACTTCCCAGGTGACCTCATTCACTTGCTTTCTAGTCCCCAGACAAGCTGAGCTGATCTAACCCATCCTGTCTCCAGCCTGGTTCATGAGCACAGCGTCCAGGAGCGCTGGCTATGCAGAGATCCCTAGGCAGGGGGCATGGAACAGGATCTCAGAGACTTCTTCATATGGGTGGGGCTGCCTGACCTGGGATCTGCCGCTCCGCTGCCTGCGTTCTACTCCCCAGAGCCCTGGGGTGGCTAGGTGTCCGAGCTGCAGCTGAGCTCCAGAAGCCCCAGGCAGGCGCTGCACAGTAGTTTTCTCCTCCTGCTGCGCAACTGCTGGGCGGGGTGGACTGCGACAACAGCCACCGCTGCACGTGAGCTGGCGGCAGATTTCCAGCAAGAGGACGCCGGGCGGACCACGTGCATGTGTGAGGGGTCCGGGTGACCTTCCTCCGCCACCCCGGGGACGCGCCACCGGTTTAGTCACTACGGCTCCTCCGCACGCCCGGCTCCCACCACCTTTCAGTGGCCTGGCATCAGGCACCCCTGGCCCGGGTCTGCCCTGTGGGCCACCAACACCGGTGCCTGGACCTGGAACCCCCGCAGCCCGAGATCTTTTCAGGCTTGCCGGCTGCACTGCTGGAAACGGAGCAGCCACGCACTTGTGCAGCAAAACCCACACCTAGAGCTCGCACGTGAAGGCGCACTGTGCAGGCTCACAGGTGAGAAGCGCCACAGCGGTCACCGGGATGGCTGCGCGGTCCACACCTTTAGAAGAGCTCATGAGCCACTCTAGCAAGAACTGGGACCATCAGTTCTCATGTCACCCGGGCCACGAAACTTCCTCTCCCTGCAATCACTTGACGCTGCGTATAAGCAAGCAGCGCATGCAACAGGGACATCTATCCTCGCCACCAGCGCGCGACTGTGGCGGGTCGGGGCGTCCGGTTTCCAAAATATGACTGGTATTTATTGGCATCCTCTGATCTAGCAGGACAGAGTGGCTACGGAAGAGCTTCCCTCACACCTACAGGACGCCATCGCCCAGGCTCACATCATGACCGAAGGCCCCAGGGGAAGAAGACAGGAGTCTCTTCGATGAGCAATGTTTTCAAAATGGGGCAGTAATTGTGTCCTTTTCCCTGGGGTCCAGTAATTGTGCCCTTTTCCCTGGCCTCCACACTGGAGGATCGAGGCTGGATACCTTGCGAGAAATTGTCTTCGAGTGTGGAGTCTGTGACTTTTTAAAAATAATATTGTACGTAAGTGATTTGATAGAAACTGTGTTATAAAAAAGGAGATGAATGGAAATTTTTCACTGCCTGCTTGTTTATAAAACTTTTTTATAAAACTTTAAAAAAGTTTTTGCATCTTTGTAGGAAAAAAATGATTTTATTTGGTATTTGTAACTATAGCCTAAATTTATTTCTAATCCTGGAGTAAATTCCAAATACTCTATTTGCTTCCAAACCACCTTGAACTAAATATTAGGTGGTATTCCATCCTCCGGTTAGTCTCTTTTCTTTCTTCAGAAGTATTAGTCATCTGCAATGGGATTAAAATGGAGAAAATGCACACCCTGTCAGTCAGAACTCAGAGTTCAATGAGGGGTGTGTGTGTGTATGTGCTGCAAATATCTCCCCAAATGTGGCAGAACTCAGAGTGAGTGAGTAGGGTCCTAGACCAGCACTGGGTTATTAATGAGGATGTGAACTGCTGATAGTGGAATGTTTAGATGAAGAACTGGCGATACTCAGGAAGGGCTGTGTTGAAGAGAAGCTGTCTGGGACACATTCTGAAAGTAACAGCCTGAAGAAAAATCAATACACCAACTACTGAACTCAAAGTGATGGAGTCTGTAGGGACTGAAAGATGTGGAGAAGCCTGTCATGTAGACATCACATGAGGAACAGGGAACAAAAGTAAGCTTTAGGCAGGAGCACAAACAACTTTAGAGCATCAGGTAGCAGGAATTGTTCTGAGAGTGCAGAATAAATAAGGAATAGATGGGAACCCTGAGGGCCGTGAGTTGATTCCATGATACTTGGAAAATTTGCCAGGTAGTGCAGGTCAGAATCCTCTTCCCATCCTCAAGAAAATACTCCTTGTACCTATGGCAAAAATCCAGGACTGAGGAAGAAAAGGAAAGCTTCTTTTTTTTTTTGGTCTTTTTTTGAGACGAGGTCTCCCTGTAGCCCCAATTGGCCTGGAACTCACTGTGTAAACCAGGCTGGTCTCAAACTTAAAGATCTGCCTGCTTCTGCCTCTGAAGTTCTGGGATTAAAGGCATGCACCACCATGCCGGGCAAGAAAGGAAAGCTTTTATTGCATTCTTTGCCTAATAGGTCTTCAAAATGTGAATCCTCGGGGCCAGGGATGGAGGCAGTTTACAACAGCAGATTATTATTTATCCAGCAGGCTCCAAAACAACAAAAAAAATCATGTGAGATTTCTACTTGACATTATGAAAATAACTCTGAAAAAAATATCTAAAACAGTCCACTGGCTTCTTCTACCCTCCATCAATAATGGTGTTATAATTAGTCAGGATATATGTGATTTTTCCATAGAAATGTTGTAAATAAGTTCGTATAAATTCCATCAGTCTGTTAGAACACCTGCAATCAAGATCTGGTTTTTGTCAATTCACTTATATTCTTTGAAGGGCAGTTATGATCCCTCAGTTTCTCTGAGATCACCTTACTACATCCATAGCAGTATCTCAATAACATGTAGATTTTAACCCCATCTTTCCAGTTCCTGAAGATATGAATGCAGACACTTTACATAACTTCCTAGAGTACAGATGAAACTTCCTAATGTGTATTTAAATGCAAAGTCCAAATATCAACTCCTGAAATGTACATTAAGTGATCTAACTTATAACTTCAGATTGTTCACACACACAAAAATTATCTTCACTGGCCATTGTTGGCTTAATGAGATATTTGTTGGGAAAAACAAACCATCTTTCCTTTAAATTGCTTTATGCCAAAAATAAATGACAGATCATATGAGCAAGTTCCCAGCGGCCTGGAAGATTCTGTTTCCTTATAATCATGTATCATTCCTGGTTCTTACGAGCTTTCTGCCCCCTTTTCTGCAATGATACCTAAGCCACGTGTGGTTGAGGTTTAATATAGGAGTCCTATCCAGGGACACATTCTGCAGTCTCTTATTCTCTACGCTGGCCAGTTGTAGCCTTCTGTGTGCGTAGTACTCTGTTGCATTACAACAATGGTGACAGCATGCACAAGACCCATGCATATTCAATCAGATAAAAACCCAGCATAGAACTGGGGAAAAGGGTAGCAGGCCTAAACCTTAGCCAAATAACTATTGGCAGATGGTTACTGCTGGATGAGGGAGAGTTGATCTTTAAAGAGAGACTCTAGATAGGCTGCCTCGACTCCAGTGAATGAACTTGCACCGAGGGACATCTGGGTACACAAACTTGACTCATAGACCTTAACATATATGATAGAATACATGATATCTAGTGGAGGGAAAATGGGGGGGGATGAATCTGGGAGAGGATATATTGATAATTAAGATGTTCAGTATGAAATGCACAAAAATTCAATTAAAGAAATGACAGAAAAAAATAGCACTTAAGTATGAAAAGTAAAACATGTAGTTTCTTTATTTGTAATAAGCA